ATCCATCCATGTTATGAGGGTATTTGTTGTAAAAGAGATTTGGTGCACATTTGGTCAAGTTTGGTGCATTCGCCGGATAACACGTCGTGAAAACGGCTTCAGGACGTACATACCTACCTACCTACAGGTAGGCGCAGTTATCATATGTCGATCTCTTAACACAACCAAACCGCTTTGAAGCACTTTAATGGTGACGCGACATATTTACTCTAAAAATAAGGTAAGCTTAAAAAAACATATATGTATGGTGGCGAGGAATGTCCTCAGGTGGACCCAAGGTGCCCAGATCCGTTTTCAGGATGCACACCTGATGGTTTTGGTCGACAATAAATGAGGAAAAAGCTCAAAATACTGAGGATGGCGTATAGGTACTGGTGCCGAGGACTGCGGACCTCGGTGTGGGGTTTTATCTCACTTTTAACCCTATTAGTGGCAGGAGGGGGGTTGTTTTTATCCACCCCTCAGGTTTTTCGGGAATATCTCCGAAACCGCTGAAGCTACGATGCTGAAATTTTCTGACTTTTCCTAAAACTAAATTGGGCACATTCCCTGAAAATTTCAAGTTCATAACTTTACCAGGGGCGGCTCCAGAGCACTGGGAATTGGGGGGTCCTATTCGTGAAGCGAGTCATTTGGGCGAAGATCACGATGCTGCACCAGTTTTACGAACAGTGAATGAAAGGTATCATGTGATAACATATAAAGTTATTGTGCATCCTCTTTTAACACGTTTTTGCTATAATAGGCGGATCCAGGCGTCCAAAAAGTGGGGTTATGTTTTACCTCCCAACATAGGTGCCCTGACACCGCCTATGCATGACCAATACAATTGTAGTCGTTCTCTCATAAGAAAATTGTAACATAACAAGACCATTACCACCCTTTTTAGAAACAGTACCAACAAAAACCTTATTTACTATACTTTTTGTGTACCCCCAATCTCAATGATCTGTATCCGCCTATGATTTTTGAAAATGCATATTTTTAGGATCCATGTGAATTCCTGGTTCATTCTCTATCGATCGGCAAAAGTTGCGTTAAGATTGGTTCAGAAACCTGGCCGTGATAAACAGTCTGAAATGTATCTGCAATTTGCCCGTTTTTACTCCCCTCTACCCCCCCCCCCCTATTGACATTTTTTAATTTTTATTTTTTAGAAATGTAGATCACGTTGAGCGAAATCGAATGCCGTTTGAATTTTGAAAATCGGCCAGTTAGATCTCGAGATATCAAGGGGGGGGGGGGGTCGTAAACAGCCCCCCTGCCACTAATAGGGGTAGCCAAGGAGCCTGCCACTAATAGGGTTAATTAATAGCATGACCTGCAACCGCAATCGTCTTTTAACATCTGTCTGGAAGTTTGATCTCGCAATGATAAAATAGGTACCTAAATCTGTTGGGCAAATATTTTCTTTTTCGTCATACGCTACCTTTCAAAGTTCATACTTCATCCTCTGTTCATACTTCATACCCTACTTATCATAGGATGATAACCAACATAACAAAGGCATATGGATTATGGAGCCCAAGTTGAAGTCGTTATTGGTATATTTGCCGCCGCCGATGGGAGCCTTTTTGGAGACTCGATGTGTTATACAGGTATATCCTCCCACTACCCTAGCCATATCTAACTTACTATTCCAACATAATCCGTCTGTCTGTGAGTCTGTGAGTCTGTGTGTCCGCACATCGTGTAGTGGGTTCAATTAACCCTATTAGTGGCAGGGGGGTTGTTTTTATCCACCCCTCAGGTTTTTCGGGAATATCTCCGAAACCGCTGAAGCTACGATGCTGAAATTTTCTAACTTTTCCTTAAACTAAATTGGGCACATTCCCTGAAAATTTCAAGTTCATAACTTTACCAGGGGCGGCTCCAGAGCACTGGAAATTGGGGGATCCTATTCGTGAAGCGAGTCATTTGGGCGAAGATCACGATGCTGCACCAGTTTTACGAACAGTGAATGAAAGGTATCATGTGATAGCATGTACAGTTATTGTGCATCCTCTTTTGACACGTTTTTGCTATAATAGGCGGATCCAGGCGTCCAAAAAGGGGGGTTATGTTTTACCTCCCAACATAGGTGCCCTGACACCGCCTATGCATGACCAATACAATGCTAGTCGTTCTCTCATAAGAAAATTGTAACATAACAAGACCATTACCACCCTTTTTAGAAACAGTACCAACAAAAACCTTATTTACTATACTTTTTGTGTACCCCCAATCTCAATGATCTGTATCCGCCTATGATTTTTGAAAATGCATATTTTTAGGATCCATGTGAATTCCTGGTTCATTCTCTATCGATCGGCAAAAGTTGCGTTAAGATTGGTTCAGGAACCTGACCGTGATAAACAGTCTAAAATGTATCTGCAATTTGCCCGTTTTTACCCCCCTCTACCCCCCCCCCCCCTATTGACATTTTTTAATTTTTATTTTTTAGAAATGTAGATCACGTTGAGCGAAATCGAATGCCGTTTGAATTTTGAAAATCGGCCCGTTAGATCTCGAGATATCAAGGGGGGGGGGGGTCGTGAACAGCCCCCCCTGCCACTTATAGGGGTAGCCAGGAGCCTGCCACTAATAGGGTTAACCTCGCCTACAGGGCAGACGGTATGTCGTAGGAGGCTGAAATTTGCACACCTTCTAGGTGACAGAGCGGGTCAACGCCTTTTTTAGGTTTCCACTCGCTGGGGTGCACGGTTGGCACGTGGCGCGCGCTGGAAAAGCGCCAATGAAATTTTGATCGGTTCGTAGATCTTCATAGAGAGCCGGGGTCGACAAACTTTGTGAGCTAAATGCATGCCGATCGGTGGCGGGTGCCTCGCATTGGCGGATAGGCAAGTTATTAATTTGAATAAAAAGTGGCCAGAGAATGTGTTGATTTTCGTTCAATGGGAACAGCTGGCGATGCGAGTATAAAAATGCACCGCGTTTGCCGCAAGGCGTCACATTGGTCACAGGGCGTCATTTTTGCCGCAAATCGCACAGTTTTGTCAAATATGGTCCGATATGGGTGCAATTTGGTGCAAAGATGCATGCTCAACTAACAGGTTCAGATGCGCCGCGTTTGTCGCAATGCGCCACATTTGCCACAATGCGCCATTTCCGACAAAAACGATTGAGCGTAATGGAATTGTACGAATAGGAGGAGGGCTAGAAGCACTTTTAAAGTCTGATTTTTTTTATGCTTATTGGATCTAAGTATTATGTGACCTGACATGACCCAGTGGTAGGTAATGGTAGTGGTAGGAGGTAGGGTAGGGGTAGGGGTAGGGGTAAGGATAGGGGTAGGGGTAGTGGTAGGGGTAGGGGTAGTGGTAGGGGTAGGGGTAGTGGCAGGGGTAGTAGTAGGGGTAGGGGTAGTGGTAGGAGTAGTAGTAGGGGTAGTGGTAGGGGTAGTAGTAGGGATAGTGGTAGGGGTAGGGGTAGGAGTAGGGATAAGGGGTAGTGGTAGGGGTAGTGGTAGGGGTAGTGGTAGGGGTAGTAGTAGTAGGGGTAGGGGTAGTAGTAGGGGTAGTGGTAAGGGTAGTGGTAGGGGTAGTGGTAGGGATAGTGGTAGGGTAGTGGTAGGGGTAGTGGTAGGGGTAGGGGTAGTGGTGGAGGCAAAAGTAGAACAGTGGTCCGGGATGATCCCATCAGACGAGAGGTGTCCTACGTGACCTGGCCTGACCCAGAGTGACCAAGGCTGACCCCTATGACCCCATCCAACTTTCATCCAACGAAGCCCTCAGAGCAGTTTTTTAATTCTCTTCACATTTCCGTCCATATCTATGCTTCTAGACGACACATCGATTTGAAACGAACACCATTCGAAAGCAAATTGGCTGGTGCCGCAATTTTTTCCTACCACGCAGCAAAGCAAGTGGCGCAGCCGCTTGTCTATATTACTATTTGTGGTGACGTAGTTTCTGTCTGTTACCGAGGTCGCGACATGGTGCTACGTAGCGCGGGTTACAGGTCACGCCGTTGCACCTACCGCGCTGAAGTTTACGCAACTCATAGAACAAGGATGGACAACGTGCCTTTGAGGGGTCTGGGCTCGATCGGATTGGTAGGGAGCGCGTGGCGCGTGCCCAAAAAGTGCAAATTCGCGTCATAGACTTTACATGTATAAATCGGCGTGCGAAATCGGGCGAAAACGGCTAATTTTGGCCGACACGGGTCTGGTCCCCGTGCAATATCTCGGTAACCGTGCGCCCGATCGTCACGGGGAAAACAGCATCGTGTAGAGAATCGAGCGGGCTATCGAATGGTGTGCGGTGCAGGGGATGGCACGCGCCACGTGCACCCGTGAGGGCACTTTTGTTTGAAAAATTAAGGTTTCGGACGGATTTTGGATTTTATTTTATTTTTACGTGACCGTCAGACTGAGAGAGTTAAAGCAACGCCCATTGCCAAGACAAATGTACCGCCTCTCATGGAAAAATTGTGAAAAGCTAATTGATCAAAAACAATGTGGAAAAAATCGCTGGAGAAAATGGTATTTGTCCACAATGTGCCACTAAATAATTACACGGGATTTGCTGCTTAACCTGATAGGTTTGGCAATTGAAAATGCTATCATTAGAAAGAGCATTCAATTCTCTTCAAGATCCAATCATCACGTTTGCATGGCAAGCAACAGTACTCTTAAAAATATAAATGTTTCAAACCTCTGCAAAACCATTTTTAGCGAAAATTATCTACGCCTTTCATTTGTCATAAAACTACGCACCTAAATTATAAAACACATTTGACAGGTTTTGAAGTAGAAAGCATGCTTATCAGACACGGGCACCTCGATGCGATGGATATTCTTTCCAAACCAAATCATTTAGCCATCAAAAAGCAATCGACCGAAATGGATAGCTAACCCAACCGACACAAGAAAACCAAACACCCGCCGATCGTAAATACCCCTTTTCGCGTTGCGGAGCACGCGGGTCACCCTAGTTGGGTTCTATGGAGGGTCAGCGGGGCAGTGTCTCCGACCGTCTCCATCCCTGTCCGTTCCTGTAAAGAACAAGCCGACGCAGGTCGACACGTCGTGTCCCCGGGGTCGCGGGTCGACCCGCCGACCGGTGGCGGCGCCGCGCCGCGCCGGTCGCCGCAGAGGCGGCGCCTCCCGTCAGTCGGGCCGGACCCGTGAGAAGGAGAGGAGGTGTCCGTGAGCAGCCGGGAGCCCGGTCACTATCTGCGCTGTGAACTCCGGGAGACGCAGGCCGTACCGCTGCGATAGCCAAGGTGAGGGGCGTCGGCAATCTGCCACGGGTCCGGGTGCGGGGGCGGAAATCTGTTTCAGATTAGATACCTATATATCCTCGCAGGTCGGCGCGGCGGCACGGTGGAACGGAGTTCGCAGCATCGTCAGGAGACCGCCAATCTGTCTCACGACTATGTTGATTGCGTAAGTGGTCCCGCATTGACTCAGTTTGTAGCAAGATGTTTTCGAATATTGATTTTAAATCATTGGGATATGCTTGTTGTCTCTGTATAGCTGTCCTTGTTGCCTTTGTTGTCTTTTTAAATCATTGGGATGTGTTTCTTGTCTTTGTATAACTGCAAAATGAATGAAAAGAGAAAGAGATTAGCGAGATATGGCACTTAAGTTTATTCAGAGCAAACAAAAGGTCGAGGTACTGGGTCCAAGTACGATGTATTTTTTAATGACAGTGAGCTGGGGACAATATAAATCCGGGAATTTATACCTACTAAAATCGTATCAGTCAATGTGATCAATGTGGTCAAAATAAGATGGAATAGTTACCTTTTGCGAAGACAAAAAAAAACAGATCAAGGGATTTGTTTTTTATTTGTGTTTATTTTTTAGGGGGGGGGGGCTACCTTTAGTTATGACCAAAAGGTAGGGTTTATTCCATCTTACTTCAATGCAATTAATTTTATTTCAATTTCAATTCAAATAACCCAATCACGCTAAAAAACGTTTCGCACCATTCAAACTGGTCTTAGCTGTGTTAAAACAGCAATTCAGCTTTAGGCACAACGAGGAGTTTGAGGACAAGCATAACATGGCTTCTTGAGCTCGATATTGTCCATAACACAAGTTGCAAGTAATAGGCTCAATATGTTGTTGTTTTTTTGTCAAGAAGATATATTATCCCGCGCCCTGGTGTGGGTCTGAGCCACCTTCGCCCTGGTGGGGGGGGGGCCAAAATGACCCCCCCCGTCTAACTCGAAAACGAAGAGGGCTAGGAAGACGCGGAAAAAAGCAAACGAAAGCCCATAACAAGTACGTTCGAAAGTATTTCGGTCATTTTTTCGCTAAGGTCAATATTGAGGTCGCTAGAGGTCATCATAGGTCAAATTTCAGTGTTTTCGGTGTTGCCGGACATATTCCGCTGTAGCTCGGAAACTAGAAGAGCTAGAGAGCCGCGGAAAAAAGCAATCGATAGCTCTTTTCAAGCTCTTTCGCCAAGGTTCGTCAGATTTGACCTCAGCTCAACGGTTTGGCCTACAGAGGTCATGCAAGGTCAACTTGGCAAATTTCGTTGAAAATGTTTTTAACTATAGCATGCATTCACGAGAAAATAGAGAAACGATTCATGCACCATCGTGCTTGGCTCGTCGAGACGCGTCGAATGATATATAGTTTGACCTCGAAAGGTCATTTTGAAAATTTGACCTCAGGTCAAGGTCATGACCTTACCGAAATAGGTCATGCTGCATATCATTCGATCCGCATTGACGAGACAAACACGATAAACGTCGAACGGAGTCTCTATCTCTATTCAATAACAAGTAAGTGCAGAAAAACCGCTGGTGACCTCTGGTGACCAGGGAGATGACCTAGCGTGACCTCAGCGAGGTCACAAGCAAATGGTTTCACATGGGCTGTGATTTGCTGACCCAAGACACTTCAATAACGAAATATAGGAACAATCACGCCCGATTTAGCTGAAAAACAACTACTTTTCGATTCTCCCATTGACTTATAATGGGGAGCAGCGATGACCTGACCTGACCTTAGGTCACATTTATAAAAAATCCGAGATAGCCATTTTGTAGAGCTGGGTGACATCTTCAAGTACTGTAAATTTTACATCGATCGGATAAAAGCTGTGCCTTTGAGAGAGCTTTGAACTTTTTTAGAGGTGGTGTCAGTTTTGGTGACCTTGTGACCTGACCTGACCTGACCCGAACCCCCAAAAAAAGGACATGATGTAAAAATGTTGAATAAACAGCTATACAAAGTTTCAGGGCGCTAACTCAAGTGGTTTCTGAGTTATCGCTGAAAAACCACAGGGGGGGGGGGCCAAAATGGCCCCCCCCCCCCACCAGGGCGAAGGTTATATGCTTGCGCATCATATATCTATCTTCTCCTATACCTATATTATCGGAAGCGCCAGTGAACGTTCAACGCTGGAGTGATTTCGATATATAAAGCGATGATAGACAAAAAGAGATGATGGGTGAGCACATTTGACGCGGCTTCAGTGTTCTTCCACTCCCACTCAGGAATTGGTATGTTCATAGTTGGTTTGCACGCAAGCTCTTTACGCATTGTAAGCTTCCCCTGACATCTCGGGGGACGCTGTCAGATGATCCTGCGACCTCGCCCTGCGGCGATTTGCTACTGGCGGTGCCGAAGCGACCTCGCCGCGGCGGTGAAGCGCCGAGACCGCAGTACACGACACACACTTCGGCGTGGTGGAGACTGAGGATTGCGTGGATCCGCAGGATGGACCTGGGACTCGAATAGGGGATGGGTTGAAGGACCGATGCGCCGCCTGATGAACTGCCTACAGTTCTGGCACGTGCCGCTAGCAATTTGGGGGTCGTCGCCGCCGACACGACTTTGTGCCGCACGTATCTGCGCCGATCTCCCAATGGTCATACGCACGCCGCTGTCTCAGCTCGACGCCCACAGCGTCAGCCAGATACAGCCAGCGGAGCAGCTTAGCGGGAGGATTAGCTCACGTAATCGGCTTTCATCCCGCCGCCGACTGATAGGATCGGACTCTGATCTCAGGCTGGACTGTAACTGAAACATAATTAACACAGTTCCGGGACCACACGTGGAATCGATACGCACCTTTTATGAACAGTCTGAGCTGGGATTACAGAACGGAGGCATGGAAGAGATGAGTTGGGGTTTGGGTGCTCGGCCCGCGGTCATCGACGTCCACCCGGTGGCTTACGGAGTGAGCGGGATCGTTTGTTTCCACATCATATGATTGTTTTTTTTTTTTACTGTGAAGCACCTCACCGTTCTGGTTCATTTCGAACCAGAGCCTCAAAGCGGCTGCCAAACTCAGCGGCGAGCTCGGGGGTGGGCGGAGGTGGGGCCCGGTGGTGGCGACACTCGCCGTCAGATAAACTTCCATGTGTGGTGGTTCCCAGGGTTGAGGCCCTTTTCCCGGTAGCCAATCTCGCGCCGCTGCTGAGCTGGGGACTCTCAGCTGCTCGCCATGTGGCGTCGGTAGCGTTATACGCCGGGCTGCTGAGAGGGACGAGATATGTGACTGCAGATCTATGGGCTGTTTACTGGCGCCGCAGTATGCTTCACGAGTCATACACGCATCCGTTTATACTCTGTCCACATTGCAGAGATCCATAGCAAACTGTGCCTAATGCCGGCGGACGATGCAGTCGTGATCTCGTTGTCAGGTGGTTGTCAGCGCTTTATTGTTCCTCGGCCACCCGGAATCTGACCACATAACCGTTTTACAGTCTGATCCAATCTGGCTGCTCGACGACCTCATTTGCACCCCGCTGATTCAAGCCGACCCCCGCCGCACTGGCGAGATTGCGGCCCCGCGGCCCCGGAAACTGGAGCCGTAAGGCCGCTCCCCGACGGCCACCTGCTACTCTGTGCCCAGTCAGTGGCGGGCTCAACTACCGACTCACAGTGCACGCAGATTGCAGGTGCATGCCGTCGATTTGCTCGTTATAGGTAGAACGCAGCGGAGGCTGAGTGGGCAGTATATCGTGTCCTGCTGCGAATGGTTTACATACGAAATATACGAGTTTCTTTCGCACCTTACGATGCAGAAGACCCGATTGCCTCTGAGGGTCTCTGATGAGCCATGGTTTGTCACCGGGCGGGCACACCATCCCGAGGTAGCTACGGATTGTGACTCACTGCTTCCAATCCCGCCCACTGCCCTCCGCATCTCGGGAGGACGTCTTCCGGTTGGCGCTCTCATCCCACTGGGGCCGTCTCAGAAGCCGCGTGGAGCTCGCTCATCGCACGATAGCGACCGGCACCGCGCACCGATCCTTTTTGGGTATAAGCCGCACCTCCCACTCATCAAGTTTCAGAAGCAGATCCCCTCCCACTCGGTTTAGCGGGTCGGAGCCGAGTCACGTGCGCGCGCGGACGTCTCCGAGTTGGAGGGAGGTAGCCGCCTGGCCCGCGGCGCCGGCGGCAGGGTCAGCCTCTATGGCGCCTCTCGCGTGACTGAGCCGCGTTCCTGGACGCCACGCCGGCCAGTCGGCACGCGGCACTTTCTAGCCGCCGTCGGCGACGAACGTACTCGGGTGTGGGCGGTGGGGCGCCGTCATAGAGCAAACCTCAGTCGGTCAGCGCACACTGGGCCAGGGTTGGGAATCACCCGCGGACAGGCTGAGATATAGACGGGCCGCAAACTGCCCCCAGACGGACAAAATGTAGATTGTCTGAGGATGGTCGGAGGGAAAGCCATGCCGTTGATGGCTTCGGCCAGCAGAGCCGTTTTACAAGTTACAGTGCGAGCAGCGTTGAAGCGGCGCCGTCTCGTGGGGCACGGCAGTTAGCCGCGTCCTGTGTCGTGCCCCTGAATGTGAAATGCCGGCGGCCACAGGCAGTGAATTCCATGGAAGTTAGGGTGGTGTCTAGACATTCCAAACAAGTTCTGGTGAAGCGTGAAGGTGCCCAGACAGACACTGGTAATAAAGTGCTTTGCAGAATCCAGGGGGAACAGAGCTCTCGAATCCGAATCGGCTGCTCTTGGCAGTCACCATTCATCAGAAAGTCAAGCCACAAGCGTTTCGTCCAAGACATCAGCACGCTACTTGTGTGGCCGCACGGAGAGTCATTCGCGCCGGACACGCGCGGGACGCCACATTGGCCACGGCGCGCCGAGTCTGCCGCGGCCGTGGGCCGGAGCCGCGCCGAGTCTGCCGGGGGCGCCGGAGGTGCGCCCGACGCCCGCGGGCAGCCGAAACGCACCGGCGCACCCGGACACGATCCGGCACGACGGTGGCTACACGGACACGCCGGGGAAGCCCGCTCCAAACGGCCCGCCTCCGGGAATCGGCAACCTGCCGCCGCGGCGCCTGAAACGGTGCGCCGCCTTCGCCACCGGCGGGAGCGCGCACGACGGCCGCACCCGGAGACGGCGGGTTTCCCGTCAGTTTCACGGTGTACCGCGCCCCGCCCCCGCCGGCGACCCGTGGGCTGTTCACGGACCATCGGCGCGTGCTGATGGGGAATTTGGAGGCGCTGGCAGTGGTTCCGGCTCCGGCTGTCAACTGTCGAGTGACATTGCACCTACCGATGATCACCGATTGTGGCGGAATTCAGGGGAAATCCAAAGATAAGCACAGCCCAGAGAACTACCGAAGCTTTCTGAAAGCTCTCTTGGGCCCTAGCTCACAGAGGACTTCTTTTCCGTTGTTCCCGCTCACAGAAAACTTCTCGTCTGTGCTTAAAGGGACACTCCCACCTTAACATTAGTTTTGAGTTGAGATAGCCAAATTGGTGGCCATGGCTTGCAAATACCGGTTTGGGCACTCACAACATCGACAAATGCTTTAATTCGGAGATATGGAATTTCAAACTTGCAGTTTTCGGATTCTAAGGGGCTAGTGCATTGGTATGCCCCCTTAGAATTTGTGACGTCAGCGGAGATCTAACGATTTTTAAATCTTTTACTAAAACGTTTGGTAGCACGCGGTGGTATATGCTGCTTTGCGCGCAACAAATGCCGCACTTTCAAATAAAGTCGCTAGGAACAGCGGAGATCCCAAAAAGTAAACAAAAGTAAAAGTCTAATATCTTGAAAACCGGTGAATATTTTTCGATGAAATTTGGTAGATATTCGTTTTCGCTCTTGCTGAACCGAGCGACATCACCTTCGTGCCAATTCATTAACTTTTTTGAAGGTGGGAGGGTCCCTTTAATGGGGCTGCCAAATTTCACAGGACACTGTCATATTGCACCTTATCCGTAGGGGAGACCCGGGAGGTATGGGCCCCCTGGAGGTATGGGCCATCGCAGTTTTGAAGAAGTGTTGCGTATTTTTACACATTTGACGGCGTTAACTGGTAGCAGCCATTCCGTTATACATCCCACGTGATTTTCAAAACCTTCCTCAGTCTTCTTTGGCAATGAGCGGTGATAAAGCGCTTTTGCCCTCTTCGAGTAAAACACGGTACATACAGAAAATTCGTGATAAATTTGAACCAGGCTCGTTTTATGATGTCAGACCATCGCTAACATAAAGTTTAAAGCATGCACATTAAGACTGGATAGACAATATGAAGTTTTTTTGCAAGATTATGAGCTGAGATGTTACGCACATTATGGCGTCCTTACCGGGAGGCTCGGGCCACCCATCCCCAGTGATCCTAAATAAATAAAAAGATGCTTTCATTGAATGTCCCCGTCAATAGGTTTTATTTTTGTCGCGCAAGGTCGAAAATTTAACTTCAAATTTCATTCGAACAGAAAAATATTATTGATCTCATTTCATGGTGCATGATTGAGTTTACCAAAATACATATGGGCCCAAGTGACCTCCATGAAGCAAGCTGTTGGCCGCTTATGCGGTTCCTGGGCTCTAAGAGAGATCAAGGTAGATACCAGCTACGAGCATTATTTTCATTGTCGAGAAAAGAATATGAAACATGGTACCGGCCCATACCTCCCGGGCCATGGCCCATACCTCCCGGTGTATTTTGATGGATCGAAAAAGCACATGATTTATTGAAAGTTATCTCGAGACAAAATAGTTGATCCCAGATGCCTAATATCAGGCACACGTTGCAGGCGAAAGCCAATTGCACGTACCCATAGTGAAAAACCGAGTCTAGCCACTGCCCACTGGAAGAAAATTGCCTTTTCACAAAACCGGCCCATACCTCCCGGGTCTCCCCTACCTATTCGGTAACTGGGGGCCGTGAATTGTGAAAGCTCTATAAGAGGTTCTAGAGAACTGTCGCCGTTTGGTTAGGCGTTTGGTCACGGTGCCGACTGTAGACTTGGTTTCAGTGTTGGCCACAACTTCACCGTGATGTAATCGGTAGGCAATTAGCTACTGATGACGTCACCATAGGCCAATGGGCGGCGGCCACTCGCACTGCCGGCGGTGTGCTCCTGAGGCGCCTCCCGGTCCAATGGAGTTGGAGGGACACGCTTAGTTGGCCCACTCGGTGTCTGTATATTCAGACACATACGGAGTCACGTACAGTCCACAACAGGGTATATTGAGTGAAGGTCTACAGCGCCTGCATCAAGACGGCGTGCGGACGGTTCAAAGCGTCCGTGTTCGGTACCACGATGCCCGGAGTCGCGAGGCTGCGCCGGTTGAGTGACGCTCAGTTCAAGGAGTCGCTGTGGGAACGCCGTGCGTCGGACGTGCACGAGTTGAACCGATAACACTGCGTGGTCCGGAGATTAGAGCGGTTGCATCATGGGGCGGCGCACCGTACCCCTGGACTGCGGAAGTGCGGAGGTATACAACGCCCTACTCCAGCCACCCAAAACCCTGAGGCCTACACCGCATTACAAGTACCTATCTAGCCATAACAGTTACCGACTTCCGGAGACTTCGATGCTGAATGACAGCGTAAATAGTCACGTTACTAATGCTGTGAACTGTTTGAAGTCATTCTTTCTCTGGATTACTACAGCCCCTTTTACATTTCTGACCGAAACTGATTTGAAAAACTGAATTATCCTTCACCGTCCCCGAGTTCTTCCAGATCCTCATCTCATCCAGTTCTATTTAATTTAATACGCTCCCTCGTGCCATTTCCGCGGCTACCCGGCGCTGTATTTATCGTCCCCAATGCCGTTCGTGGCTAACTGGCCCCTGTATGTAGGTACCCGCTGACTGCCGCGGTTCCGCTCTGCGTGCTGGAGACGCCCGGTGGGGACTGTTCGAAGCCAACTGACCTCTTTGCTGACCCCAGAGTGTCGCCCCCGTGTGCCGCTGACTGACCCCTGTGTCACTCTGTGTGCCGCGGACTGACCCCTGTGCCGCCCAGTGTGCCGCGGACTGACCCCTGTGCCGCTCTGTGTGTGCCGCGGACTGACCCCTGTGCCACTCGTGTGCCTCAGATGACCGGTGGGTGTCGCTCGCCGCTTGAAACCCCTGTGTACCGCTGACAGTAGCGGCGGAACACCTTCAATTAAGAGGGGGCACTGCCGACTTTTGGTCCCATTCTTTCCATGCAACGCCTATTGGGCTAATATTAACCCGCGCCCGGCTGGGGGTCCTGGATTTCCACGCCCTGCTGGGGGGGGGCTGTTTGAACACCCCCCCCCTTGTAACTCGGCTCATGGGCCACGTAGCGATACGCGGAAGGCGGCGTTCGAAAGAGCGTCAAAAATAATGACGAAATCACTTCGGTCAATTTTTTGGTCAGGTCAAAGGTCAGGTCACCAGAGGTCGTTGAAGGCAAAATTTCGCCGATTTCCAGGTCGAATGTCGAAAATTTCCAAGAAGCCAACGCATAACTCGGGAACTAATAGAGCTACAGCGCCGCGGAAAAGCGCATTCGATAGCCCTATTAACGCCCTTTCTGAGTAATTCTCTCAGATTTGACCTAACTTCAACGGTTTTGCCTGCAGGGGCCAAAAACTGCAAAAATAGCCGATTTTTTCGGAAACAGTTTTTCTGCAATAACTTTTGACCCAAGCCTTGTAAGAGCTTACTTTCACCGGCATCGTGTTCCTCTCGTCAAGACGCATCGAATGAACTATAACTTGACCTTGAAAGGTCAACTTGAAAATTTGACCTCAGGTCAAGGTCATGACCTGACCGGAAAGGGTCATGCTGCATATCAGTCGATCCGTATCGTCGAGCTGAACACATCTAAGGCGTTTTCATCGCTCTAGCATGCCTCTATCAAAAGTTATTTGCGAAAAACTGTTAGATACCATTCGTGACCTAAGATGACCTCAGGGCATAAACAAGGGTCACGGACACCATTTTCATGTTCCGTGTGTCTAAAACACTTGTAATTCGGTGTTTGGGAGTGTTTATAATGTCTTTCGTCCAAAAGAGGCGCATTTCAATTTTCTCCCATTGACTTATAATGGGGAGGTCGCAAAATTGACCTGACCTTAGGTCATCGATATCAAAATTCTGAGATATACCTTTTGTACATGCTATTGCTCTTAGCAATCCCTGAAAGTTTCAAAGCGATCGGTCACTCGGTGTAGCTATGACAGACATTGAAACTTTTTATGAGGTGAGGTCACTTCAAGTGACCTGGTGACCTGACCTTGAATGACCTTGGTCTGAAATTTCACAACATGTGTAGAATTGATGTATGATAAGGTGTACCAAAAACGGCGGCGCTCCGCGCCGCCGTTTTTGAGATATTTGCAAAAAACCACAAGGGGGGTGTTCAAACACCCCCCCCCCCCAGCAGGGCGCGGGTTGAAATGCCAAAATCAAAGGGGGGCAGGGTGCTCCGGTGCCCTCCCCGTTCCGCCGCCTATGACCGCTGAGGGCTGACCCCGTACCGAATTCCATGTGTCATGTACTGTACCGACATCTCTGTTCTGTGTGCCGCAGATGGCCGGCGGGCGCCGCTCGCCGCTGCTGGTGGCCGCCGCGCTGCTGCTCGTCCTGACCCCCACGGCCGAACCGTACGGCTACGGGCGGCTGGCTGAGCTAGCGCGGCGCCGCTTCTCCGGCGGACTGGTGTCCGGACAGCGTCTGTCCGGTCTGGGCAGACACGTGGCTGCCGTGGCCGACAGTCTGCGGGCCGGCGCAGACAGGAGCGACAGGTAAGCACGACCTCCAGTGGTGGCGGGATTGTCGGCTGGCGGGGCTGGAGGCTGGGCGGCGGGGGCGTTGTCGAGGCTGGTGGGTGTCCAACTCAGGGCGGTGCCGGGCGGCGGGCGACTACACACTACACAGTGCGGGCGCGGCTGATGGCTGAATGACACGGGACGGGGGAAGCCGCTGGGTGGGCCGCCCGTGTGATCGTCTGCCAATGGTGCCGTGTATGGACAAGAACAGCCTCCATCCGGCCGGGTCCGCCCCTGTTCTGTGGCCAACACTCCATTAGGAAACGTCCAGACCGTGTTACATAGGCGGGTCCTCGTACTATGCTAAGTGTTTAGTGCAATCGTATCACAGTGGCACGTGTATATGGGCACTAAAAGTTACAGGTGATGCAAGGCTGCATTGAATCGAGTGAACATAATGCATACTGTGTCTTAAAGATTTTTGGTTTCGTCATCAAAACAGGGCAATAGGGGAAAGTGGGGTATGACGGGCATGTTAGTTTTGCGGGTCTGTACCTCTGAAGTCTTTTCTTCGATTGCTTCACCAATTTAGCACAACCATCTTCAGGCATTTTTCTTTCAGTGCCCCTTTGACACCTAAGGTCTAAATCCAATACTTTTCAATTGAGAGTGTTTTTAGCAAGACCCTGCAAAAACCCGTCTTACCCCACCGGGGAGGGTAAGACGGGCACTGATGTTGGGGCAAGACGGGCACAACGTTAGTTTGAACTTCTTTACATATTTACTGCCGAATAATTATGCTAATACATCTTACACATCTGGCTTTTGATCTTACAGTCAATATTGTAAGGTTCGTAGCATCGCACGGCTACTTATAGGCGTAATGGTATTGATCGATGTAATGAAAAAATTAAACAAATTCAAAGCTGTCTATTTAAATAATTTCGATGGAAATGCGTTGCAAATGATGTAGAACAGCGTAAGTTAGCTTAAAATAACAATATCAGATGGTTTGCATTCCTTTCATCATTGTTGCCCGTCTTACCCCATTCGGCTGCCAATAAGGATATCACACCGCCTCCGGGCACCAAATTAAAGGATTCATTCGCCAGCATACACATTTGGATGACACCCTAAGACGAAACTCTCATCAAATTTCCAAAACAAAATATGAAACAGCGAGGTCAGAAAACACTACGAAACACGATAGTTCTGCTTAGAGTGCAAGGCACGTTTTTAGCTTTTCCACAATTTTTCAAAAACTATTTAAGATGCGTACCTCTGCCTTCACCTCACAGCAAAGAACCACACGGCCGATTACCAACCACAACAAGAGGTTGCTAGCGCCAACGGTTTGGGCTAGAGGGCCGGTGCCCGTCTTTCCTACCCCGCCCGTCTTACCCCACTTTCCCCTACCTGCTTCTCAAGATGATGTTGAACGGTTCGCTTTTTTTGACGTCATGCATACAAGCCGTAGGACACGATCAGTTGCCTGAGTGCGATGTACTGTTTTCGTGCACCCTCGATGCTCGATGTTTATAAAGTAGGTACCTATAAACAGCCGTTTTTTTTAGAAATTGCCGTAGCACCGACAAAATGACCGGTGCTTGACTGACGTTGTTCCGACGTCGACTGACGTTACTCCAACGTTGACTGATGTGCGACTGATGTGCTCCAGTGACGGCGACGACCTCCGCTCGAAGCTGGATAAGGAGCTGGAGCCGGCGCTGGACCCGCCACCCCGCCGCAGGCTGGAGCTCAAACGCTTCCTGCGCCGCCAGCACCACCACCATAAAAAGATGATGGCCAAAAATAAACGGCTCAGCAACAAGAACGGTAGGTGCTAAATCCACTGCAGTGATCATTAGTAATCGAGACGGGCTATTTTATCGAGTGTTCACATGCAACGAGCAACTGAATTAACCACGTGCTATCTTTGCCACGGTTCAAGCGCATGCTTGCATTTCCGGCGAGCGCCTCGCCCTGGCTGATCTTCAAGCTGCGGCTTTTTGTGAGTGGTGATCAGACTTGAGCCTCTGGCGTTGGTTGCAGCTGATGATGAAGCGACACGTTTGTTTTCCAGAAATATGTCTGTTCAAGGCCCTGCGGCGGTGCGGCAACCACCTCATAACAGAGTTGTCCTCGGACATGACGTTTGACCATCGCTGTTCCTCCAAGGAGGTAAGTCATTCCTCCCACACATTGCTCGGCCTAGCGCCAATGTCAGTGATTGCTTTTTTGTCTGATTTCCTTACAAGCCAAGATTTCGTGACGTCAGTGGTTGTACTGGTGTGACATTCAGTAGACGAATGAACTGTGATCTCAGTGCACTCAAGACTGACAACTATCGGGAACTGGAAGATGAGTGTAAAATTCCAGCCATCACTGACCGACTGTGGCCTGGGTGTGATCTCATCCCAGTTGCTAACCGCTGCAGATGTAGGTGTAGGGATGTGGGTGCTGCTCCAGCTCACCTGACCGCCGTGCTGTCGCCGCCGGCAGGATTTTCTCGACTGTATGTCGCGCATGCAGCACGGCCGGTGTCACGTGAAGCACGCCCGCCACGGTCCGTCGCGGGCGCTGGTGCAGCAGTACCAACAGCGGCTCAGGCGCCTCCTGAAGGCCACCCGAGGCTGCGTCATCGGCATCGACCTCTCCACAGAGACCGACTGAGACGGGCAGAAGCAGAGCAAACGGCGGAGCGACCGGTGACGGAACCAGGCACCGAGAGGTGACTGAATCAGGCACCGAGACGCGACTGAATCAGGCACCGAGACGCGACTGAATCAGGCACCGAGAGGTGACTGAATCAGGCACGGCAGTGCTGAATCAGGCTACTGATCAACGGTCAGCGGTAGCACACGCAGTCCGGTGTCGGTAAATGTTGGCGTGTCTACAGAATGGTAAGATCCAGTGTGCTAACCAGGGCACTGCTGTTCGACCTTTGGTACGAGCATGTGTACCGTAGTCCGGACTTTGGTACGTACCGCTGTCTGTTTTTGGCACGGACCTGTGTACACCCGTCCGACCTTTGGCTCAGACCTGTGTACCAAAGGTCGAACACGGACTGATATATCGCTGTCCGACATTTGGTACACACTGGCGTACCGCTGCCCGATCATTGGTACGAAGTGGAGTACCGCTGCCCGATCATTGGTACACACTGGTGTACCGCTGTCCGATCATTGGATACATACTGGTGTACCGCTGTCCGGAAGTCCTCACTCCAGAGGCAGGTGGACGAAAGATCTCAGTAGATTAAGGGCCGACTGAAGAACGGTTGTGATCAGCTGTATTCTCCTGAAATGCGATACCCGGTTTTTGTGAAAGTACTGTTTGTTTGCGCCGCGGACAGAAAAACCGGCGGCGGACAGGACTTGTCCGGCATCTGATGTCACCGACGTCGTACCGTTACCTGTGGGACTGTCCATGTGTCTCTGGCATGTGGGGTGTATTTTTGTGTGGAGGGTATTTTGCTGCGTCCCGTGTTGCCGGCTCGACACTGGCAGATCTCAGGTGAATGATTATATAGGGTGGTTGCAGCTTCCTATCGCCGCGTCTGGCCCGTCTGAATATTATCTCACCCCTGCGGAGGAAGGGGATCACGATGTAGCGGAGTGCTCCCTCCTCCCTTCTTCCGCGAACGGCTCTGGGCCGCACCCTCCCTCCCCGGCACCGCCCAGTCCCGGGGTGTTGCAATGTTCGCTCCCCTCCCGAGCTCCAGTAATCGCAGGCTGATACAACGCGCCCGGTGAAATCGGAGGGGAGCTCTCGACCGGCACATTATTCGCCCTCCGCCAGTCTGCTGCAAACGCGCCGTCTGCGCCCGCCCGCCCGCTTCTGGCGACGGCAGACCTCCGCTGAGTGAACTCACACCTTTGTATGGTGACCTCACACCTCCGCCCGGAGTGACGCCAGACCACCAGGCTCTGAGTGACGTCACACCTCCCGGTGGAGTGACGTCAGACCACCAGGCTCTGAGTGACGTCAGACCTCACAGCGGAGTGACGCGCTCCGGACGTAGGCGTATGTCCGGTAGCACGCCCTGTGCGGGCGGCGCGCGCCCGTATCTCCCGGCGCCGCCCCCGGCCGGCGACTGACCACTCGGTCCGTCTCCTCTCTCTGTCTCCGCCGGCGGCACTGTGCAGTGTGCAGCATCCCGCAGCCCCCGACCGCCATGTGATAATGATCGCACAGCTCGCACCGCTCCGCGGAAAGCCCCGTTCTGCCATGGGAGCGAGCGAGCGGCCGGAGAGCGGGCGGGGGGAGTTCGCAGGAACGCGCCGCCGCCGCCGACCTCCGTCGATTCTTCTGAAGTGATTAGGCCGCCGGCGGCGACAGAGCTGAGGGCAGAGGCCAGGGCCAGGAGCCGGCTGATTCGGGGAGGGCCGGCGGCGTCGATCTGGGCCGCCGAGGGCTGATCTAACCGTCCAAAGGGCGGCGTGGCGCGATGGGAGGCTGGCCGGGTCAGTCGGAGGTGATCTCACCCGAGGCCGCGGCGCCCGGTCACCAAATCCACGTGGGTAGCCGGGGCTCCGGGAACCAGCACCACTTCAGGAGGAGGGTGGGAGCATCAGCAGCGGATGACCGAGTGTCTGACCGGTAAAACCGTCCGCGGGAAGGCAAGGTAAACACTCCGGAAATGGAGGCCGAGAATTCAGAACTGAGCAGGGCGTGAAATGCACTCTTTCCAATTTGCGAGGTGGCATGAAACTCGACCTATCTCATGCGATAAGTGAGCCCAACTGTAGAACGCTGCTAGGCACCTGGTATAAACTCAACACATTGGAGCGGTTCGTGGGCGTACTTACAAATCCGGCGACATGGAGGGCCGGTGTATGTGCTCTGTGTGATGAATGTTTATTTATTGGTGTTCGATGTGATTGGTGGTACAATAAAGATGACACAAAACAGCTGTGTTTATTGTTTGGCCCACGCACTCGGAATGTTCACATGACACATGATGCAATGTGTACTGCGGATGTAAGTAGGCGTGTAAAAGGTAAACAGTTCTACCCACGCTGACAGGCCGTGTCTTTGCTAGACGGAAGACGCGAGATAGGAGCTCTGTACTGGGAATATTGTGGTGACATCACTCAGGTAGGCTGGCAACAAAAGAACATGTTTACAGGGAACTAACGAAACCCGGTTGTTACCAGAGCGTATCTGGGCAGACTGATAAGCTACTCCCAGGCTAATCCCTGCAGCATAAATAGTAAAAAATAGAATACTTATATAAGCGTTCAGAAATTACGATTAACATTTAATTCTGTGGTGTCGTAACATCACGTGATGTCGGGTCACCGGACCAGTGCTGCCGCCTGGCGGTGACACGACCCGGGTGTGGCCTGCTCGCGGAGCGGGGGTCGCCCGCTGACGCTTGAGCCGCGCTTACCTATACCTACGTTTTCTTGCTTTGTATTGTTATTCGTTCGTTCATGTTAAATAGGTATAGGTACACTCGGGGGCAGATTGATGTTCCACAACTCTTTATCCACCGGGTTCCTATGGCTCAGCATTGGCAGCAGCCGCCTGGTACCAGTAGACTGTGCCGCTTCACTTACTTGTCAAGCGGCACAGCCTACCCACACCGTATGCCACCGGTCTGGGTCGGTGGCTGGAAGGCGATCTGGGCCGCCTGTGGCGTCAGCGCAGGGCCGAGCCCGGAGGCATGGCTCGGGTCGGCGCGGCGCGGCGGCTGGCGAGGGCTGGGGAGTGAGGCGGGGTGGAAGCACGGACCATCGCACGGCTGAGCGAGTGTAATTAACTTTCGCGTCTCAAGGCGCCAATTATTCTACCTAACAATTGTGCTAAAGCAGTTGTTAAAATGTCCTATCCCCAAGACAGCGCCTATCATCATGCACATTACGACACACTTAAACGTGGCATTGGGACAGCCGATAGAACTTATATCACACGTGCATCGAGTTGCGGAGCTACATTGTTTTTAACAGGTAAGTATTAAGGCCTTGATTGAGCCCATTGGTGTCTATTATTTCGCTCAGCGATCGTCCAGAGACATGGGAACTGAGGTTTTTGGATAGCGCGGCGTCCCAACTTTAAGCAACTCTTACTATTCCTCTAATGTGTAGTCGCAGCCACCAATAGCAAACCGTTCCATCTAGGAACAAATAAGTCGCGCACCTGGGACGGTTCGAACCGGGTTTCTCCAACCGGTCACACCACGACGCTAGCGTGTATCCACTGAGCTGCCGAAACCAGCGACCGCCCGCCGCGGTCAAACGCGATCAAATGTCACAATACTGTCATTGGCGGTCAGCGGGTGAATGTCATTTTGTTTTGTGCAGACGAAGACCATTCCCGGTAGCTCAGTGGATGAACGCTCGTGTCGTGAATTGGCCGGGGGGAGAAGCCCGGTTCGAACCCCCCTGAGTGGCCGACTTTTTGGCTCCTAGTTGGAACGGTTTGCTATTGGAGGCTGCGACCACATATTAGAACAACAGTAATAATCGCATTGGAGCGTTGGCTGCGGCACTACTGATAACCCCCAGTTCCCACGTCTCTGGACGATTGCCGTGCGAAACAATAGACACCAATGGGCTCAATCAAGGCCTTAATACTTACCTGTTAAAAACAATGTAGCTCCGCAACTCGATGCACGTGTGATATAAGTTCTATCGGCTGTCCCAATGCCACGTATAAGTGTGTCGTAATGTGCATGATGATAGGCGCTGTCTTGGGGATAGGACATTTTAACAACTGCTTTAGCACAATTGTTAGGTAGAATAATTGGCGCCTTGAGACGCGAAAGTTAATTACACTCGCTCAGCCGCGCGATGGTCCGTGCTTCCACCCCGCCTCACTCCCCAGCCCTCGCCAGCCGCCGCGCCGCGCCGACCCGAGCCATGCCTCCGGGCTCGGCCCTCACCGCTGCGCTGACGTCACAGGCGGCCCACATCACCTTCCAGCCACCGACCCAGACCGGTGTCATACGGGTGGGTAGGCTGTGCCGCTTGACAAGTAAGTGAAGCGGCACAGTCTACCGGTACCAGGCGGCTGCTGCCAATGCTGAGCCATAGGAACCCGGTGGATAAAGAGTTGTAGAACATCAATCTGCCCCCGAGTGTACTGCAAGACGGTAAAAATTCTCGCCGGAACCACACGTTTTCTACTCCCGCTCGAGAGCGAAGGTAGTGAAACAAACCCCTTGCCGCTTCTCACAAAGTCAGGCTAAAACTTCGAAAAAAGCTCGATTGACCATCACGAAATGTGGCGAGTGTTACCTACCAATCTTTAATATACCTCGGGTGAACTGGTGACAACTGTGGCAAGTTAACGACCCCTAAGTTCGTGGGCAAAAGTTGGTATAATAATTTTGGCAAACTTCACCACTTTTTTCAAAACAGCATAGAACCGCACCGAGCCTCCCGCCACAGAGGAACAATGGAACTGTTCCAAGGCCGAATGAGACGGCACGATGCACGTTGTGCACCGTGACCGGCACGGGCGTAGGAACGTCATGAAAAGTGGGTGGGCCACCCTGTCAAGGGGCCTCCTTTTCCAGGGGGCCTCCTATTTTCAGGGGCCTCCAACTTTTGCCTCGTCCCTGGCTGCTTTCAAGTATGACCTCCAAATCTAGCTTCTGAGATCGGGCAGATATACCCAGGGGCGTAACCGCTTAACCCGCGCGGGGCTGGGGTCTCCAGCCGAACGCGCGGGGCTGGGGGGGGGGGGTAAATTTTACCCCCTGTTATCTCCCGAACTAACGGTCCGATTTGGAAAATTCAAACGCCAATCGAAAGCTCTCATCACGAACAACTAAAAACATGTACTTAATTTAAAGTTTGAGGTCAAGGTCAAGGTCAGGTCAAGGGTACAAATTGCAAGTTTCTACAGTATCGGCCTTGCACCGTAGTTGCCGAAGAATGGAGTCATGGACTGAGACTGATCGCCCAAAACGTGTTCTTAGGCTACCAAGACAATATTCGTTGCATACAATATCATTCAGAGGTCAAGGTCAAGGTCAGGTCAGGTCAGGTCAGGTCACCAAAAAACAAAATATAGAAAAGGGCATGTGCGACACATGTTTTATGGGTCATTTTACTTATAGAATTCAATAGGCACACTCAATAAGTGATATGGACCACCTCTGGATGAATTTCAGGTCGAGGTCAGGTCAAGGTCAGGTCAAGTGAGGTCAAATTTTTAAGTAGGTTGTTAAGGCCTAAAAAGGTGTCTATCTGATGCAGTTTTTCACGGCGAATCGAATGGTGCTATGTTTGTTTCCGTACGACGTCTAAAACTTCCAAAAAAGTCATTTTTCAAAAATTTTGTGTGTCGTGACGTCATAAAATTTTGAATAACTCCCACATTTTTGAACCGATTCTTCTAAAATTTGGTATGTAGGTGCACATAGAGCACTTCTCTGACATATATTCCGGTTTTTTCGATAGACTCAAAATTTTGGATTTTATAATGATTTTCCCAAAAAAGTCAGTTTTTTGAAAAAAATTTGGCCAAAATCCAAAGTTTTCAAAAAACCGAGATAGCCATTTGATAGACAAAGTAAAATTACGTATAACCTTTTTTGTTACGTCTTGATTCCTTTAAAAATGAAGATGTTAGCGGCGTTTGAACTTTTGCCGTTTTTGAGGCGAAAATTGCGAACATGACGTCACTAAAACGTCAATTTCTCAAAAAATTTCCGACAGATTTCGCTCAAATTTTCAGGGAACGTGTCAAATTGATGTAAGAAAAGGTACTGAAAGTTTGGCGGCGCTGCGCGCCGCCGTTTTTGAGATATCGCAAAAATTCGCGAGGGGGGTAAAATTTACCCCCCCCCCAGCCCCGCGCGGGTTAAGCGAACAGTGCGGAAAGTCCGCACCATTTTTTAAAACTTATTCCCCCTCCGATTTTTTTAGAATCTATTTGCCGCAAACGGCGCATGACCCCTGAAAACCCTTACACAAATGTCTTCACCGTTTCCCAGGTGCCCCCATTAGCTTCATAGGCGCCCTCTTTGGCATATAAGCGCCCTATGTATAGTCATCAGAGACAGAGACATCCCTATATGGCCCACAGTCGCCCCGTTCTCGCATACAATGTGCGCTTATCATGGCGTCTCTCTTTTATGGACACTTGAAGGCGCCTCTCTTTGCCATGCCGGCGCCCCTGTTTCTTATGAATGCATGGCATTGATCAATTGCAATTTGCAGACCTCTATTGCATGTGGACGCCATATATGTAGGCCTCAGAGGCGCCCCTCTTTCGCATTGAGGCGCCCCTATGGGCTTCATAGGCGCCCCTCTATTGCACGTAGGTGCCCTACTGTCTCAGAACCGCTCCCCTTTGGCATGCAGACGCCCATCTTTCGTACGGAGGAGCCGCTGTGGTTCTTAGAGACGGCATGGTGCTCCCAGACGCAGATGGGGCCCTCGGAGTCGACAGTGTGGGACCTTCAGTCGCTGATGGGTGCCCGCCAGATGTGGACTCTCGGAGACGCCGGTATGGGGCCCTCAGAGATGCCGGTATGTGGCCCTTAGAGACACCGGTGTGGAACCCTCAGATACTTCAGTGTGAAGCCCTTACAATTGCTGGTGTGGAGCTATGAATGCGCTGGCTTAAATCCCTCAGAGGCCGGTACATGGACATAAGAGCTCAGTGAGAGCTTGTGTGGTGCCTTCAGTGGCCTTGTGGAGCCGTTAGACATCAACGTGCAGTGCTCTCAGGAGCCGGTGAGTCCTCAGAGTCACCGGTGTGGGGTCTTCAGAGCTCCGAGATACTGGTGTGGGGCCATCAGAGGTGTCGGTATGGGTCCTTCAGATGTATTTACCTATAGAGCCTTGTGATTCTCAGGTGTGGTGGCCCACAGAGGCGCCGGTGTGGGGCCCCCAGAGCCACCGATATAGGGCCCTAAGAGACACTAGTATGACCCTCAAAGGCGCCGCTGTGT